TCTGCAGGTTCCAAATTTTCTGAGACATATCTGACACTCAAGCTGAAGTACTTAGTGTGATTGATTTTGTGAATCAACATTCGCTGGACCTGATGTGCCATAATTATCAACAGCTCATTTTGGATTTGCCAAGAAGTAAACTGGTTTCTCTTATCTCCTCGATTTAAAAACTCATCAAGTTTAGGGACATATTTACGCAACAAATCCAAAATTGCATTAAAATTACCAGAAGACTGCTCATGACCACGAAGTGCGATACCAGTTACACCACATAATTGAACTGCTAAAAAAATACGTAGGACTGCCTGGCGATTTCTTGACTGTTGTTCCTCATGTGCAATTGAGAGTTGAGAAATAACACTTGGTTTATTCAATGCAGAGGACTGGAACAAGGCTGAGTGGTGAGCCTCTGATTGTTGGTGTTTACGAAATTTTAGCAATGCGTGATTCCAATTACCACTGAAGTCTTTATTGGTAAAAGCAGTTTTTTGTGCTAAGCAAGAGATATCAATCTGTGTTGGTTTTCTAGCCAACAATAAAGGCACACAAACTTTTGCAAACCATTTTCAAAATGAAGCCATGGGAAAATGCAGTACCAGTTCTCCTGAAAGGACATGACCTTCTGCTTTCCATTCATTTTCACAATGACTTGAGTAGATATTATTGAGACTGGTGGGTGATTAGCCTCACAAGAGGTGGTTGAGGTGCAGCACTGGAATTGGTCATGTTTGGCTATTTCAACAGGTACTATAGAAATGGAATCAATTTTGCTGGTTTCACGTAGAGGTTTTTTAGAAAAAATCACACTAACACCACATGGCTGAAATTGTCGAATAAACAAGTAAACAATTATTTATAAATATATATCATATAAATAAGCGAGGATGGGTAGGAGTGAGCCAAGGTTAGGAGTGAATCGTTAATCCTACAGATAAAACGGGAAATGAAAAAGACTCAAAATTTTCACCAAGTAGTTACATACAAATTGTTGTTAACACAATCCAATTTTTTTACCACTTCTTGGTGCGGGTGTCTGTGTTTACGTTGTCATCCATTCTTTTCTGTGCAAAAGTAAATTTTTTGTATTTTTTGAAACTTCTTTAACGAGCATACCGGTTGTTTCAAGACATTAGATAGTGGTTCAAAATTAATTAGTAAACAATGTAGTTTTTAGAACAAAGTATTTTACATGCATAAACACTTACTTATTGTACATTTAATGTTTTAGTCCAGTTGTACAGATTGGGGAGGAATGAGCAATTCCTTTACGGGTAGGAGTGAACCGCGGCTCACTAATACTTCACGTTAAAAAAGTTTTGACTTGAGCGTTAAAACATATTTACGTTTGACTTTTTTATTTTAGTATATCATTTGAAAACTCGTGTGCAACATTACATTTATTTTTACCACATGTTATAATGCCTCGAGTCTATAAAAGAACAACTTCGAAAGCAAAAACTTTCAGTAAAGATATGAAAGATGCATTACATTTAATCCAAAAAGGAAAAAGTAGTAGAGAAACTGCAATAACTTTCAAAATATTGCTACCTCGACCAACTTTTTCTTGAACAAGTAAATGGCAACATTGCCATTACAAATTTGAGGTTGTGTTTGACTATCATTTGTTAAATATTTTTTTTCTAATGCTAATATACTATATGCTAATATATTGCTTTCATTACATATATATACACTTTTATTATATCCTAATATTTGGAAATTATCATTTGTCATGACTTTTATGTTTTGTTGTCAAAATCAGTTGTTACTGAAAACAAATTATTTTTCTGGTAGTTTATACATTTTGTTTATTTTATTAAATGAGTTTAAAATTTAGTGTTAAATTTATTGTTATTTATGTTACATTATTACTTAATTATGTTATGCTTAATTATAAAGTATTTGTTACTTACTTAATTTTCAATAAATTAGTTAAATAAAATATCTAATATTAGTTTTCTGGTAATTAAAGATAATGGCTCACTCCTACCATTTCTTTGTTTACTCCTACCCATGCATGGGTAGGAGTGAACCAGTAGCAACACCTGCGTTATTGTTTAAGTTATTAAAAATCTGAAGATATTTTGATATTTCATGTATTACTATTAGAAACCTGATACTTTAGGCTACTTAGGCTCCTTATCCTATACTTTTTCGACTTTTGATTTCCTTGATATAATCAATTTAAAAAAAAGTGGCTCACTCCTACCCATTCTCCCTTACTAGTCTATTATGTTTATGACACACCTGCTGTACTATAAGGTCAATATTTTCAACAACATGGATCTGCCTAGAACCTTTCTTTGAAAAATATTTGAAAATGTCTTTTGATTTACTGCCTGGACGTTTCATATTTTTATAGCACCTTCAAAACATAAATGACATAATGACAATAAATCAATGATTCAAATCCAACACTTAAAAGTTGTAAGTCATTTTCAAAACTTAACTTGACTTTTTTTAATTTTTTTATTTCATCTTGATAATAATACTAAAACTAACATTAATAATAATAAGTAAAAAATGATAAATAATAATAAAAATTTGTATCATTGATGTGTTCAGTAGAAGTTTAGAGTTCAATACACTTAACAATATACAGACAATACAATACAAACAAATACAAGTTCATACGAACAATACAGACAAATACAAGTTCATGCGAAGAAAATCAGATATCAATTCATAGTTTATTACTTTGATAAAGTAGTTTGCACAAAATATAAAATCTTTTTGTTGTAATGTAAATGCCATTATTTGTACTGTATTTAACTCCGAATCTAATATCTATTTAATAGTATTTAACTCAGAATCTAATATATAAAAATAAATAATCTTTAACTTTAATAACTCTGGTTTTAAATTTTTTTTTGTAAAAAACATTTAAAAGTCGAGATCCTTCTTCAAAAACATCAATAAGTTCTTCGCTTTCATTGAGTATATAATGTAAAATCTGTAAGAGTAAATGTTTATTTTTTTGTTGATGTTACAAGTATTGAATGTTACATGGACTGCATGATTATTAAACATTGATAAAAGTAGGGCGTAACCGATTAATATCAGCCACATCCACGTCAAATATTGGGTGTGGTCGGCCACACCTACCACACCCCGGTGCTGCGCTCCTGTATACAATAGTAAGTAATATTAAATCATCAAAATATTTTTTCGTAATGATAGATTCAAAACCAGATTTTCGCAAAAAAAACCAGTTGTCCATCATTATTCGGTATGTTATAATAGCGGACCAAAAGACAGTTTCTTAAACTTTGTAAATATACTGTCATCAACCAGAGAAAATTTAGCAAACGTTTGTATTAAGAAATGAGAAATATTAGTAATCAAGATTGCTGATTGCCGAGGTTAGTCGTATGACAACGCAAGCAATATAAAAGGAGAATATAAGGGAGTGAAAAGTTAAATTTTAGAATTCAACCGCAAAGCATGGTATACACCGTGTGGTAGACATAGCGTCAATTTAGTTATTAAGGATAGTGTTAAAGTCATTATTAAAAATCAAAATTATTTAAGTTCATTAAATAATTTGTATAAAGTTTTTGCTGCGTCAACAAAGCGATAGGCTATTCAAGGAAAATATTCAAAAGTTAATCTAAAGACGCCAAGCAATACTCGATGGGAATATGGCTTTAAAAGTATAAATGCCGTAAATTACCAGATAAAAGAAATTAGCCTTGCACTAGATAAACTTAAAAATAGCCATAACAGAACGTAATCTCAAGAGATTGGCAAACTATTGTTATTATACATAATACCATATATACTATACATATATATATAATACCATATATACCATATATATTATTATACATAATACCATAAAAATGAATTATTACGATATCGGTATACGGAATGAAGAAACTGAACCAATGGACAATGAAATAAAAAAATTGAACCAATAGACGATGATTGATCCAATTGAATGCTGTGATGATATTGGCTTGCATGATCTCCTTTCTGAAATTGATGATGAGTATAAACATTTAACTCTAACGGCTAAAAGTAAGTTTAAAGAATCTTATTTTGATAAACAAATCAATAAAGTAAAAGATTCATCGCAAGAACGATTTGAATCGTATAAATTTTAAAATCAATTTTTTTTATTTTTTTTCGATAATAAAGAACTAAACATTATGATTACAAATGAGTTAAATACTAATTGTTCGAATCTGGTCAAACACTTAAGAAATAATGTTGAAGAGGAGGAATTCAAAAAAGAACTTTCTATTTTAAGATATAATTTAGAAGATAATTATGCTATTATAGAAAATTTGGAAGAATTATATCTAAGTGTATGAATCGTGTATATCGAATAATTTTAACAATACCCAACACCGTTGTTATTAGAAACGTTTATTTTAAAAACTAATTCAAACTAATTTAAAATTAATTGCAAATTATCTGCGTTCTACAATGTCGCAGGAAAGACTTTTAAGATTTGCAATACCGTCGATTGAAAATCTAACCGCCAAAGAGCTAGGAAAGTTGATTTATAATTTCTTTGTACAACTTTTTTTTTTAGAAATAAAACGAAAATAAACATAAATTTAATAAAGTTGAAAAAAGTTTTTTAAGGGCCCCAAAAAGTTACAGAGCGGGTCTGTGGCATATACCCACAACAATCAGAAATAGGACTAGAACTGTTTTTAATTTTCATTAATCAATCTAACTAATTCAATCTGCCAGATCAAGTTAATAACTGCATCAAACTTTACGTTAATGACACTAAAATAGCTAACATTAAAATTCTAATGATTCAATAAGGATTGTGTTGTGTTTTCTATTTTTTGTTATTGAACTATTTGTTTTATATATGTGTCTATTTTCTTGTATCTTTAGATTAGTACAATCATTGTTAAATAAAGGCTTAATCAAGAGGTCAATCTTTTTATTAGTTCATTACAATTTATTTAACAAACATATAAAATTATTGGGAAATGTCTTAAAGATCGTAAAACCGACGAGGCTTGATCTTGATCATAATGCACCAACTGCTTCAAAAGAATGGAAGCATTGGAAACGAACATTTGAAAATTTCATTGAGGATTGTGGACAAATTTCGCTCCATCGTTAATTTTGTTTCATCAAATGTTTATGATTACATTGAAGAGTGTGATTCCTATGAAAGTGTAATTGAAACCCTAGAAAACTTATATATAAAAACCCCTAATGAAATTTTTGCAAGGCATCAATTACTTATAAGACATCAAACATCGAGTGAATCCTTAGAAGACTTACTTCAGGAATTATGTAAACTCAGTAAAAGCTGTAATTACCAGGATGTTTCCGCTGAACAATATCGAGAGGAACAAATAAGAGATGCTTTTATTTCTGGAATAAATTCGAATTACATTCGTCCGATGAATATAACCCACAGTGTTTCAGCTGCAATACATAAACCAAGTTTGTGTACTGTTTCAAGTGGTTGTCCGTTGAGCCTCTCTCATGCAGCTGTTATTGTCAGAATTAATGATGAACCGTTAACTGCACTAATCGATTCCTGTAGCTCAGATAATTTTATAAGCAAGAAAATTCTCGAGACTTTAAAAATTAAAACGTTACCCAGTAAAAAGAAAATTTTGATGGCCCTCACAACAATGGAGTCTGGATTAGTGGGCTGTTGTTCGGTTAATCTTGAAGTAAATGGTTTATTTTATAATAATATTCAATTTGGTGTCTTAGAAAATCTTTGTAGTGATATCATACTTGGTTACGACTTCCAAAAACTACACAAAAATTTAATATTCCCACTCGGTGGAAAAAAAGAAGACTTAATTGTCACAAAGGAAAGTAACCTATGTGCACTGCAAATGGCAAAAATAAAAATACCATCCTTGTTTACAAGCATTTCAGACAAAACTCAGCCAATAGCTACAAAATCAAGAAGATATAATAATGATGATCGAAACTTTATTGAAAGTGAAATATTACAGTTATTATCGGATGGTATAATTGAGCCATGTTTCTCACCATGGAGAGCCCAGGTAGTGGTCGTAAAAGATCTTACTAAACCTAACAAAAAAAGACTTTATATTGATTACTCTCAAACAGTTAACCTTTACACTGAGTTAGATGCATATCATCTTCCCAGAATAGATGACATGATAAATGGACTTGCAAAGTACAAAGTATTCTCTACATTTGACTTGAAAAGTGCTTACCACCATATCCCTATTAAAAATTCAGACAAAAAGTATACAGCATTTGAGGCAAACTATTTCAATTTTGCAGGATTCCATTTGGAGTTACTAATGGTGTGTCTATGTTCAAAAGGTCTATGGACAAGTTTGTTGAAGAAAAAAAGTTACATGACACTTTTACATATCATGACAATATAACTATTGGTGGTTATGATCAGGCACATCATGATAAAATTTGTCTGCGGTTTCAAGACGCGTCACAACGTTGGGGTCTAAATTTAAATGAATCAAAATCGGTTATTTCAGCTTCTTCTATAAACATTCTTAGTTATTGCGTTAGTCATAACAACATAAAACCAGATTCTGAGCGATTACGTCCTTTAGACTTATTACCTCCTCCTTCTAACATTTTATCACTTCGGCGAACTTTGGGTATGTTTTCTTACTATTCAAAGTGGATACCTTCGTTTGCTAATAAAGTTCCGCCTTTAAATAATGTTAAATCCTTTCCTATCAATAGTGAGGCACTTGAAGCATTTCAATTTCTTAAAAGAGAACTTCATGCTGCCACTTTGAGTTCTATTGATAAGAGCTTACCTTTTGTTGTTGAATGTGATGCATCAGATGTAGCCGTATCAGCTACCTTGAATCAAAATGGTCGTCCCGTTGCCATTATGTCTCGAACATTAGGCAAAAGTGAAATCAATTACCCATCGGTAGAAAAAGAAGCTGTGGCTATTATTGAAGCCGTTCGAAAATGGCAACATTTACTGTTACAGAATCAATTTAAATTAATTACTGATCAGCGTTCTGTAGCTTTTATGTTTGATAACCGAAAGAAAACAAAGATTAAAAATAGTAAGATTCAATGCTGGAGGATGGAGTTAGCAGAGTTTAGTTATACTATATCGTATCGTCCTGGAAGCGATAATATCGTCCCTGACGCACTCACACGTGCTTTTTGTGCTAAAACCCAATCTCAAACAAACTTAAGTGGTATACATAGCTGTCTATGTCACCCAGGAATTACTCGTATGCTTCACTTTGTTAAATCTAAAAATTTACCTTTTTCTACAGAAGAAGTCAATAGAGTTTGTTCTAACTGCCAGATTTGTTCAGAATTAAAACCAAAGTTTTATCGATCCTCAAATGTCTGTGAGTTAATCAAGTCAATACGTCCAATGGATCGCCTAAGTATAGATTTTAAAGGACCATTGCCATCTAATTCTAGAAATAAATATCTGTTTACAGTCATTGATGAATATTCTCGGTATCCATTTGCTTTCCCATGTCCTAATATTATTTCAACAACTGTTGTAGTTAGTTATTTGTAAGGATAATATTTGATCTAAACAAGTGTTTAGATCAAATATTATCCTTTTGTGGTTTTCCAACGTACATTCATTCCGACAGAGGCTCATCTTTCATATCTAATGAATTAAAATCTTACCTTACTCAGAAAGGAATTGCAACAAGTAATTCTACCCCATATCATCCTATCAGTAATGGACAAGTTGAGAAATATAATGGCTTGATCTGGAAAAATACTTGTTTGGCACTGAAAATCCACAACCTAGATGTTAGAAATTGGGAAATTGTTCTATCAGACGCTCTCCACTCACTCCGTTCGCTACTTTCAACTGCAACTAATTGTACACCCCATGAGAGGTTATTCAGTTTTCCTAGGCGCTCGTCATCCGGAACTTCGTTACCCTCATGGTTAACTCCTGGCCCAATATTTCTAAGACGTTTTGTGCGTACAAACAAAAACGATAATCTCGTGGATAAGGTTGAATTAGTGGATGTAAATCCAACATTTGCTAATATTCGTTACCCAGATGGACGAGAGTCAACTATTTCACTTCAAAATCTTGCACCGTATCCTGCCCCAAAAGAAAAGTTTAATGATATCAATGAGAATAGTATCAATGAGTCTAGTGAGAATGTAACTGCAAAAGTACTTGATGTAAATAAAGACCCCTCACCTGAAATTATATCGGTAATCAGAGTTAGGATAGATAAGCCAGTAACTGAGCCATTTGCTGATGTATTACAACGTTAAGCTTGTAAAGCTCCTGTAAAATATGATGACTATATTTTAAAATGACAAAACTAGTTTATGGGCCTTTTTCTACATAGATGGGAAGATTGTTGTGTTTTCTATTTTTTGTTGTTGAACTATTTGTTTTATATATGTGTCTATTTTCTTGTATCTTTAGATTAGTACAATTATTGTTAAATAAAGCCTTAATCAAGAGGTCAATCTTTTTATTAGTTCATTACAGATTGCCAAAATGATATAAATAATGTAAAGTCATAGGCATCTATTTGGCTTACAAAATTTAATTATGAAAGATGCAAGAATATTCATATTGAAAAATTTCTAAATACCACATTTTAAGGTCTTAAATTGATTGCGAGTATTATTATACATTATGATGCTGAGTGTGGCTTGAAAATTATAGATCAATCGGATCTAAAATAATACCCACAGATTGACTCTATTTCTAGTGAACCAAACACAATGTTCAATATAATAAAAAGAACAGTTAAACACCTGCTTAAGAATAGTTGTTAATTTTGTAAAAAGATTCTATACAGCATATGACTAAATATTGATTTTACTGTTCATTCATGGTCAAAACCAAGACGATCCAAATAAAGGTAATTAAACTAGCACCTAGAATTAAAAAACTTAAAGAATGGTTAGATATTATTAAGTTAAAAACAGTAGAAAAACACAAATTTTATTGAAATCTTATTAAAAGTTTTAAAAAAATCAATACGGCAATCATAAAATAAATTGAATTAAAAATCATCATAAAAAAATTTCAAGAAAAAGTCTACAGTTACAACAACACAGTCCAGTGCCGCCGAGAGGGGCTTCGCGAGGGACAGTTTGTACCAGGTAGCAGATATCCAAGGGGCGGCAAATGAAATGTAGGTACCTAAAAAAAAAAAAAAGTCCTTCACATATGATATAGAGAAAATGATAAATAAGGGCGCCAATTAGGATTGCTGTTCCAGGCGGCGTGGCAACTCTTGGCGGTCCTGACACAGTCACAACAACACAGTTACAACAAAATAAACTCATTTGCAAAAATACATCCAGATATATATATATATATTTTTTACCAAAATTGGATTGTAAAGTCTCCCTGACTTTTAACCTTGACAAATTATTTTCTGGTATAAGGGAAGCTGATTTGATAAACGCCTAGGGCAAAAAATTCTATAGAATTTCTATAAACTTTTGAAAGATATGGCCTATAGAAATTCTATAGAAATTCTATAGAATGTCTATTAACTTCCATAAAAATTGCTTAAACAGCTTTTTTTCTATAGAAAAAATTTGGAAAAAAAGTTCCATAGAAATTTCTATAGAAATTAACAGAGATTCTGTAGAAATTCTATAGACTTCAATATAACTTCTATATTTTTCAAAAATTTATAGAACTTTTTTTTTCTAAACAAACTCAATAAAAAACTAAAAAATCTCAACTTTGCAGAAACATAAAACAAAACAAAAAACAACTATACTTGTGCAACCTTTTGAAAAAATTTAAATTTTATACTCCTATACTAACTCTACTGAGCATTTTTGTTTTTTTATCAGAAATTTCTGATCAAAAATAATGTTACATTGAAAATCTTAGACATTATCATTTTATTATTATTAGAAAGAGACAGGTTTTTTAAAGTTCATACAGATAAAATAATATTACTATATATTTTTTTAAAGAAATTTTAAGATATTCGAAAACTTTTTTAGTTTCACCCTTCACCTGTTAGTCTAGAGGGGTGCTAAACGAAAAGTTTACCGCTCCGAGTTACACCAAGCTTAGCAATGCCACTGCTCAAGACTCATTTGTTTGAGGAGGATTTTAAGATTAATTTACTGTTAAAATGTTATTTTTCTTATATTTTGTACTTACTTTTGCATTTTCCGCATGTTGAACTTTGCATATATTATCAAAATTTAACCCCCCCAGCCCTCAACAAATTTGGAAAGTTTGAATGAAAAGTGTCTTTTTTGTGCTCTAGCACGCTAAAAAGATAAACGATGTCTTTCTTGATTTTCTAGAACTCTGGTCTATTAATCCCATGAAAACAGTAAGAGCCATCATCTCTATATAGCCCAACGAATTGCAGCCTATAATCTTTACTTATTGCATATAGAATATAAAGAGTAACTAGTTTTTATACCTTAGCTCAAACGAAACTTTCTTCTTAATTTTAATAACCCTCTCTTATTTAAAAAAAAATTCACTTTTTCACTGTTTAAAATTTAGATTTATAATATTAAATTATAGTTACTGGAATCAGTTCCATAGTGTAGTGGTTATCACGTTCGCCTAACACGCGAAAGGTCCCCGTTTCAAGCCCGGGTGGAACTAACCGATAAACCTTTTTGGCCATTGTTGTTAGCGATTCCACGGCGCTACAAAAAACATTTGACGAAAAAAAAACACCGAATCTTCAAAAACTTTACTCTCTTATATCTTTTTATAGGGTAAAGGGTAATATCTTATATCTTTTTATAGGGTAAAGGGTAACCTTGAGGTTTTTTTTATCAATTAGTATTACTCAACCTCTTTACAACCATATATAGAAAGTTAAATGTTTTATATGGCTTCACTTAAATATTATCAATATCCTGAGACCACTTTTGATAAAAAAAGCTTGCCGCGGGAACGTTTTTTCAAAACGAAGCTTTTGGAGTTAAGGATTCCTTAGTACCAAATCTCATCCAATGTTTATAAAACTTTCCATATATATTAAAAAAGGGATGAGGAGTCTTATGGAACGTAGACACTTTTTAAATTTTATACAAAAATTTATGTTCTCAGCGTTTCAAAACATCAAGTTTTATTTTTTCGAAAAAAAAGAGTTTTGTAAAAGTGTCCAGGTGGAAATGGCAAGTTTAGCCGTTCCTTTTTATAAAACAAGTATTTATTTATGTTTTCTTGAAGAATAGATACTAAGGATCTGTACATAGAAATTATGTGTATATATTTATCTATATTCGTTCGCGTATTTTATGACGTTTTTTGTTTTGATTTTGCGTTTCTGAAATTTTAACTTCAAATAAAATTGAAAGTGAAAGTATAATTCTTTATTAAAGACTTCAGTTTTCAAGGCAATAATTTTTTTTTTCTTTTTTGAAGGTGTTTTGTCTGGATTGTTCAACTACAAGCTTAATTTTTACTATTTTTTCTACAGTCTGTACTACAGATTCTTTAAACTGTTTTTTTCAAAACAAAACCTGGAAATAGTGATCAACTAAAGTTCACTAAATGGAAATGTGTAAGAAAGTTATCAGTTTTTTCAATTATTTATTTATTTATTATATTGGTTTAGTTTAAGAACCAATGAACTCTAATGATAATTTAAATTGCCTTTGTTATAATCAGTTAAATTAAGTTTAATATTTATTTTAGCTACCAAAATGTTGTCAGAAACAATACCCAACAAGAACATTTTGGGTTTTTTAAATATAAATGATGGCATTATTTCTGTCAAATATCCTAATTTTATGTTAACTAAAATCAAATTTTTAAAAATATGCAAAGAAAAACATAAATACAACTTGGCAAAACCTTTCATTATTTTTTACAATCAACTGTAAATATAATATCTCTAGAGTGATGCAAATTAAGTACTTGAAAAGTTCAAAAATTATGTGGCAAAATTAAATCGAGCATAAAAATTTGACTTAACAAAAGATTTTTTAAACTCTGTTTTATCTTTTAATGATGCTTTTTCTGATGTTGTTCGTTTGTCACTATCTAATGGTTGTTTTACCCCTACTTCTATCCACAATTGTGAAATTGTTTCAAATCAAGTTACTGTTTTTGTATCTTCTAATTTAAACTTGCAAATTACTAATGATGATTTTTCGTGCTCTATTACTTCAACTTCTATTGGATACACCCCCTTCTATTGGATACACCCCTTTAGGTAATGGTTCTGAAAGTTTTATTCTTGAAACGCAAGTTAACGAAAAGAATCTCCCAGTTTTCATTTTGGATAAAAAACTACTTATATTATCTGGTGACTTGACAAATCAAATAAAAAAATACAAACGGAGAATTAATCATCTCAAACTACAAAATAGACAAATTAATAGAAGATGCAATAAATATAAAAAAAATCAAGCAATCTTGTCAAAATATAATGTCAGAAACGTCAACAAAAGAGAAGTTAGAAAGGATAAGATTAACTAATTGTTGCAAATAAATTTAAAAGGATGTAAGATTAACCAATTGTTGCAAATAAATTTAAAATTAGAAAAAGAACTTGATTTGGCTAAAGGGAAGAGTTGACTATTTTGAAAAAAATGTAGCTGATGGTTTTGAAGGAGGTAGATATAATGAACAAATTCACTCTGTATATTTTGACCTCGTAAGTAAAAATGTTCTGTCAATAATGTTGAATCTACTATCAGAACTGTATTACAAAAAATGGCTGGAATTTCATGTGGCACATTTCCAAAAAAATCTTTAGCTGCTGAATTTTTTAGTGAAATGAACATTCTATCAAAAGTTGTTAAAAAGTTTACACAATGTTCTTTATACAGATGGCACAAAATACAATTTTAAGGAGTTGGTAGTTTTGAAGTTATAACATCATCTGGTAACTACACATTAGGAATAGAAGATATGTTTTAGGGCGAGACACAATCTTATTTTGGTGAGCTAAAAAATTTGCTCACTGATATGGCTCAGTTATTTTCTCCTGAAAATGACAACTACAAGGATTATTTTATTTTCAAATTGTTTTCAAATCTTTGATGACAGATAGTACTATTGCTAATTTAAATTTTTTTCACCAATTTAAACATTGGAGAGACAACATTATTTTTCACCCTTCAAATAGAGCTCTGGGAATATTTCAGGACCTCTTTATCTTATTATTGAGAGGAGGTTCATATTTTTTCCTTGAATACAATTTTGTCCCAAATGTTTAATTATTTTGTTAGTTGTTCTTCCGATGCATCAAAAATATCAGATGGCTTTATATTTTTTAATGTCAAATATCTTACCAAGGATGAAGTGTTTA